TATTTATTTCTATTTATTTTTTAAATATTTCTTAATATAAACATTTATTATATGTGATCTTTAAGAAAATTTTGTAAGATTTTTATGGTAGTTGGTATATATAGAGACAAGACTAAAATCATATTCAATCTTGTTATTATCTTTCTCGTGTTCTAATCTTAATTTAATTTTTTCTTATTTCTTTATAATTGGCAATAGATATTCTATTCTATTTTGTTCAAATTTCTAACCTTGACTTGAATTGGTTTTAAGCTAATATTTGCTATAGAATAAATATTTATTTGTATATTTTACTATTTGTTTTCACATCTCTACAAATCTATATTTTATTTCAATATGTATGTGTATTAGCATACCTTTATTGTCTTGCATTGTAACAATGTTTGGTTATTTGATCATATATAGGTATGTAGAAGTTAAAAATATATTCTTATTAATTTTGGTTATATATTTTTATTAATTATTTTTTTATTTTTACTAGTTTTATATTTTTATAAATCTATTGATACTAATTTATAAGCTTGTGGTTTTTGTGCACAACTATAATTTCTTTATTAAAATTTCATCTCTAATTTTTTTTCTTTTAATCATTGATATCTATAAAGTCTCCTTTTTGTTTATATTATTTTTTTTATATTAATGGTTATTTTTCCTAAGCGTAACTAATGCAAAATAATTATTGAACTTATATATTATATTTAAATAAAAACTTTTTTAAATTTAAAAATTAATATAGTCTATCTTAATTGATTTATTCTTTATTCTTGGATTTTTTTTCTTGTACTTCTAATTTTCAACTTTAACCACAATTAAACATTATATGCAAATTGTGGTTTATGAGTTCTATTACTATTTGGCCTTGTTTCAAGATATATTTTTATATATGGTGCTATACATATGGTTACTTTTGAAAATTCATCCAATACTTTGTTAAGTATAATTCAAATCAAAACTTTGATAGCTCTAAAGTTATCTTTGAATTTAAGAATTTAAAAGACTTTTGAACAAAAGTTAGGATCCTAGCCTTAATTTTGATGGCATCTAATACAACAACATCTATATATTATTATTATTTTTATTTTACTTTTATTTTTATTTTTATTACAAATAAAGTAGTCCTTTAAAAAACTTCTGTAATAAATTAGTCTTTTAATTTTATTTTCTAATTTTACTAACAATTCATAAAAACCAAGTAAGAGATTAAAAGTATACAATAGAATATTAATTTGACAAGTATTTAAATTTAGTTTATACTAATAAATTATTAATTTTTCTTATTACAAATTTTACATGTACTAAAATATTAAAATACTAAAATAGCTTTGTCAAAAACCTATTTTATTACGTATATACCTTATTGAAGATAAATTTAGCCACATTTATAATAGCAAGATCTTCAAGAAGCAAAACACCATCCTACAATTTGTAAAACTCATTAAAGTTCTTTTCTTAGAATTTCATATTGTACAAATGATAAGGAACATCAACTAATCATATAAAAAGAATTAAATACATATAAGATATTTTTTATTTTACTATATATATATATTTATTTATTTATATTTATATTATATATATATGTATATATAAAAGTAAGCAAATAAAATTTTAAAATTAAAGATAAGCATGCCTTTATAATGATGGATGGCCTTTATTTATAAGGATTATTTGGAATGAAGTTACAAACACTTGCACTAATTTCTATACATTTGAATTCAACATTTTAACATGTATAAATTTATAGCATTCAAAGGTTTAGTCCAAATTTGGAGCAATTTTAATTCTTAATTAATAATGATGGGTGGATTATTTAGTAAATACTTAGATAAATTTAAAAAAATTCTAAATATAATTCTAATATAACTTAAAATTGAGGAATAAAATTTAATTTGAAATATATTTTCCAAACCTATTGCCATTACCACTAGTTTAAGGAAAATCCAAGAGTTAAAAAATAAAATAATATAATATAAAGTATAAATTTTATTTATTTATTTATTTATTTATTTAAAAACTCTCTTAAAAGAAAGATAATTGATTTAAAACCAAAACATTGTAATTGAAAAAATTGAAATAGTAGATATTTCAAAATATAGTCCAAGATATATTGCAAAGAGGCCACCTATTTGAAACCAAACTTATGAATCAACTCAAAAGATTAATTAAAAAAAAAAACTTCAACAAGAAGAATAAAGAAATATATTTATATATATATATATATATATATATATATATATACACATATATGTTCTTTGAAAGGTTTGCTCAAGCACTTGTAGTTGTTTATTGTAGAAAGTACTTCTTTTGTTGCTTAATTACAAATTATCACAGTTTTTTTATACCTTTTTCTCGTACTTTTTTTTCTTCTCTTTTTTAGGAAAAATGTCATAAAATGTCATATATACCCCTAAATATGTCAAAAGTATCAAGAATACTCCCACATTTTTTATAATAGAAAATATACCCTAGAGTATGATAAGGTATCTCCAATTTGACAAAGGCGCACCCATTCTTAGGAATTCCAGTATTTTTTTTGTTTTATATGGGGCACAAAGCTCGGGCAGCTGCAACTCTCTTGCCGACAGCCCCCTCGTCATCCATGCCTAGAGTGCTCACACCCTCATCGATTTCATGCCAATGAAATGTTTAATTATATTTTGAAAGTGCCATGCAGCCAACCAGACCCCCGCAGCAGCAGCTCTCCACCCTCTAGTGAAATAATGTTTTTGATTCTCATATTATTTATTTATTCATTTCTCTTATGAGGATTAGAAGTTTTCGTTTGTAGTTCGATGTTGAGGTTATTATAATATGTCTAATTTGTTTCCTTGCGACATCTTGTCACAAATAGTGCCATACCTGCCTAATCATGTTTCTTTGAATGGCAGCTTATCGGAAATTCTAAAGATAGGGATCTTAGGTTTTTGAGAAGCGACAATGCTGGGCGGCATATCTAGCATATGCCTCGACAGTCACCTGTTCTCTTAACCCAGAAGTTCAGAGGCATTAATTGTTCTGTTCTTGATCTTGTTGAAAAGATGCTGGTCTTTGATCCAGCAAAAAGAATCACATGTACCGATTTAGCAATTTCATTCAGAACGATCGAAGCTATTTGCAGTTACGCGGTTCCAAGTCAGTTTTTTAAATTTAACTTGATTGTTCTTGCATTGTAAGCTGCTTTTATTTTTCCATTCTTTTTTTCTTTTTTTTTTGACGGTGCAGTGGAAGCTGCCTTGGCGCACCTTTATTTAGGGTTTAGTTACCTAAATAGCTAAATAAAGGTGCGCAAAGGCAGTTCATGATATCAACGATGAGCCTGCCTCGGTATCTTGGAAGAGCATGTCAAGGATCTCTTTGGAGGGAGGCTCTAGATTGCAGCTTAGGTCCTGATGATATGGTGCAGTAGCTTCACACTTCATCCCAAGTCGTAAGGCCTACTCTCAATTCTTTTGGTGGCTACAATGCTGTAGTCAACGCTATCCCGGCGTTGTATGGTTTTGCAACTTATCCCCCCTATGTGATTACACTATTAGATTATAGAATGACAATTTGTTAGTTTTTCCCTGGCATTATACCTTTGCACATTTCTTCCAGCAGACATTGTTGCTCGGCTTTTTCTTTTCATATACTGACGTTTATAATCTTATATAGCTTTTGCTAATTATGTAGAGAATCAGCTCCCATCAAAGAGACAAACTAGGGTGTAATCTCTATTTTATTTGGACTAGGTGATGGAAGAGCTTCTGAAATTTCGAAACAGCTGTTGACCTTCATGTTAGAGTGTGCTGTTACTGAAAGAATCGTGAACTCAATAATAAACAATAGCATTGTGAATTTGCATCCTGTGGTTACATTCAGAGTTTGTAGAATTATACCTCTCTTAGTTGGGTCGTGATCTTATGCATGAAATAGCATTTTGATCTTCAAAGGCCAAATTCCGTTTCAAACGGTTGTCATACTTAACCCACCCTCCTGTGCTCACTCACTCATTCACACATGGATGTAAAAAAAACGCATATTTGCAATCCATCTCAAAGACTCATGGGCTCTTTCCTTCATGACAGCGCCTTCTTCTTCCCCCTCCCATGAGAAAACGAGGCGTCGCCATAATAAAGCGAATGATGGGGGTTTTATGCGCCTCCGTCAAAATGGTGCCTTGAAACTTGGCTTCACCTCGCCTACGTTACGTTCACGTAGAGCTGCTGCTGCGGGGGTCTGGTTGGCTGCCTGGCACTTTCAAAATATTATTCCAGTAAGCATTTCATCGGCATTTCATCGGTGAGGGTGCAGGCGTTGCGGCGATGGTTGTCTAGGGGACTGCGGGCAAGAGAGTCGCAGCTGCCCGAGCTTTGTGCCCCATATAAAACAAAAAATAATAATGGAATAGGTGCGCCTTTGTCAGATTGGAGATACCTTATCGTACTAAAGTGTACATTTGCTATTATCAAAACTTCAGGGGTATATTTGTTACTATCAAGAATGTAGGGGTATTCTTGATATTTCAACATGTTTCAAGGGTGTATATGATATTTTCCTTTTTCATTATTAAAAAAAATATAATGTAAAAAAATAGAACTTGGATAAAAAGGAAATTATGTAATTGAAGGCGTTGCATTTGATCAAACGTATGACAAACTACATCTAAATAAGGCGAGTAAACATGCAATTTAATCCACTCAACACAATGAAAGAATTCTCCATGCAAATACAAGACTCCATACTTAATGAGCCATACGCTGTGTATCACTGTTATACGAATCAGGTGTTTGTCCTTTTGCAACTATCCCTCGAACATTATCAATTAATTTCAAGATTCCAATACATTCAAAGACGTTTTCCAATTTACATCCCAGGATTCATTATGTAAGAGTTCAAGAACTTCGCTAAAGCGTTCGTGCGATGTAAAGTACACTGTACTTAGACAGATTGCACGACAGTATTTAATGCAAATTGTCAGTTTATTCAATATGGATATAGGAAAGTCTGCACCATCGATCTACTGAGCTTCAGCCCAACAATTAGTTCCAACGTGAATAAACAATACATAAATGCACACCAACAGCCTCCAAAGCCAGCCACTTATTTAACGCCACCATGAAGACCTTTTTAATTCTTCCCAATGTGAGTAATTGCCATCATTAATATTCATAGTCTGCATCTCTAACGCTACCTTCTCCACTCACATGGATGGGTTTTGTACCAAAACATCAAATAGTCGTGTAGCATATTGCAAGAAAATACTTCTATTCAGAGGGCCATACATGCGGAGGCCGCTCTAACAAGATGAATCCCTACAGTACAATCGCCTGTCAGGGTGGATGCAACCATGACAACATCCTTCCCGACTGGCATTAATCGACCTACAGAATCAAAAGGTTGTTCCAGATGGATCCCAATGTCAAATTCATCTTGGTTCGCATACCCAGGATATCCAACTCCAACTTCGGCAGTTGCGGATTTGAGTTGGTCCCCCCGGGAAGGAGGGGGCACAAACAATGGCAGACTGGCGAGCCCGTGAGGGACTGAGAATCATCGCCTAGTGAGGGGCCTGACATCCTCACCTGCAACTGCGGATGCGCGTCGCTTCAAACCAAGCCCGAAAAAATGGTCTACCGTTTGGCGTGCCTAATGCAACCCTTGCTGCCACTCAGCGGGTCAATTCACAACCCCAAGCAATTCGTTCTTCACTTCCCAGAAATGCGACCCAACCCGTTCCCCACTTCCACAATCTCCTCCGCCTCCGTTTTCCTCCTACTTCGGTACTCTTCTCTTGCCTTCGCCTTCCGCGCACTCCTTTCCCTCTCTATTGCTCGCTGTCCCAACAGTTGAACATGCCGGCCGTGCTCCTCCAAATCGAAATCTACGCCCGACGGTCCTGAGTACCCTGGATGAAGTAGAGGCCCAGAATGGTACATCCGCTCTGGATTATTCTGGTATCCCTGCACGCAGTCAACTCAGAACTCTTGTACGGCATACTCACAATTCTACCTTGGACTCCATATCTTACACCCATCCCACAGAAGACTCTTATACGGTGTCTTAGGCGGGTTATTGGCCAAGTTCCTACCTCATATAATAGGATCGAGAAACGCATTCTTAGATGACTCGATAACCTTGACCACGGCACGACCCGGCGCTCAAAGTCACCTCTATGATCACACTTGGCATCTTTATAACAACGAGTATGACGATGTAGGCTCACGTCTCGCCTCTCGTCCAAATCGACAGTGTATGCTCTAATCTCTCCATGCACATGGCAGACTTAAGCACATCATCCACCCGCCAACTTCACTCTCCTATGACCCCCATTACCAAAACACGTATCTTAACTATTTGCGGGTACAAAGTTAAACCAGAATCATCAATTTTCCAACATCTCGTCATAACTCCCGCAAGCTACAAAGTCATCGTCACTGCTGGAGCTGCCACGGCGTAAATAATCCCTTCCTAATCTCCACTCGACCTTATCCATACTAGATTGTCCACCCTATACTCGGCACCCATTGAGATAAGTACTCGTGAACCCAACCAAAACAATCATCCAACCTCACAGGAAGCTGCAATAGCAACTTGAGAACCACTCTGCACATGCAGTTCTCATACATAGGTAACGGTTGTCAAGGACTTTACCGCAATTGGAACCTTGGACAACGAGTCCCTTTGATGAGAATCAACTGCGGCTACGTCCCGTCTATGTGACCCATGGGTTGCGATCGTGTAAGGCTGATCGTGCTTGTAGCTACTATCGCGCTTCGACAACTCATTCTTGTGAGCCGTTTCGAATCTTTCGCCCCGCCTGCTCAGCCCATCGCCCCCTTCCATATGACCGCCATCTCCGGTCCTGCCTATGCCCCGGTCCCTAAAGTGGTTGCCGCCGTTTCTGCTGCCCGCTGCTCCCAACATGTTCGACTTGTCCACTCCGTGGTAGTTCCCCTGGTGTAGATCCGACACTGTTAACGACTTATTTGGTCGAGACATCGACCGCGATCCACTCCGACCGTCGTCATCCTTGTGCTTCTTGTTCCATGACCCAGCTCCCATGCTTCCTCCCAAAGGGGCCTGTGGTCCTGATCGTACTGCTGCGGAAGAAACGCCGTATGATCGGCCTAGTGCCACAGGAGATGTGCCTTGAACTTCCATGAATGTTTGAGTTGCTCGTGGTTGGGCATAATGCATAGGATATGCCACGGCCTTATCTTCGTGAAGAGGACCGAATTTCTCACTCTTGCTCTTATTTTGACCAGGCCGGTTACGTCTCTGCAACGGACCACTCAGACATGTCAAATTCCATTTCGCGAGTTCTGTCTTCAAAACAAAATCCTCCACAGAAAGAGCCAAAGATGGCAAGCCCAACTACTACATGCAGGTCTTCCGAGATTCTCACATGTGCTAAGGAAGCGGCAAGCTCTGCATTCGCTTCTGGGGCACCGCCAGGTCGAATCGCACGCTCCCGAGTGCCCGGACGCTTCATTTCTGAATTCCTTGCTCGTGCACCCTGTGCTCTTTGCCTGAAATACGCGACGCCACGACCGCAGTAGTTCAGGTCGAGCAAATTCATACCATACCCAAAAGTAGAACCATTTCCAAACCCATCCCCACCCAATGCAGAAAGATACATCTGCTACTCAGAAACGGGTATCCAGCTTGCGCATCCCCGTTCTATGTTTCTCATTCAACACTCATTGCCATTGAGCATATGGGAATACTGGTACGTGATATTTACAGGCTATCTAACAAGGACAATGCAAGAACTCGAACCCAATCCAACACTCCAACACTACATCCAACCTATCGAATAATTAAAAAAAACATCCAAAAAAAACCCCCACGTTTGAAGGAAAAATCTTGAGTTGATGCCAAATATTACCTGCGAGCCTCGTCGTCCCGAATCTTTGCATCAAATTCTTTGCTCGGAGGATACTGCGGCAAGCTTGACGGGTCGCAAGCAAGTGGCTTCGTCGTGAAGAACTGCGCACCGACATCAAACACATTATTCGTCGACACATGCAACCCGGAAATAAAAACCCCTGCTACCCGGCTCCCCAGCATCAACCGTGCCAACCAACCACGATGCTTGCTCACCTCACTGGTTAATGCATGACCGGCGCTTCCCCTGTCCGCGGGTTCAATGGCCAATAAAGTGTCCAGCAGAGCTAGGGACGACGATGGGAATTCTTTAAACGTCTCATTTAGACATCGCTTGTATGGTTGTTGAGGCTTGAATATCGTAGCGTGCGGCAATTTTGACTTTTTCCAATACTCCTCGGACGGAGAACCGCATAACTTGAAGATCTTATGAAGTTGTTCCACCTGCCACCATATTCCCGTACCAAACCCGTTCTCTAAATTAAATACCATCTTACAACCCAAACGCATCTACTCCAATCTGTAGCCACCGCAAGAGGGAAAATCACGCCACGAATAGCAAGACTAGTCACTACAACTGCAACCATAAAACAGGCTGTGGACCGCGACCACGACCACGACTCGGATAATTATGACTCCGATTCAAGCTGTGAACATGCCGACCTCCAAACCCCTGGACAAAGAGGACCAAATACAAACCTCCGTTCGTCCGGGCATGATGGGCTTGCCGGCTAGCAGCTCTGCCAGTATGCACCCCGTGCTCCAAAGATCCACGGCCACGCCGTACTCTGTCGCTCCCAGCAGCAGTTCAGGGGGGCGGTACCACAAAGTCACCACGCGGCTTGTCAAAGGCTGCTTCTGGTCCGGATTGAAGAAAGTTGCCAACCCAAAATCTGCAATTTTCAACATTCCACCATTGTCCAACAACAGGTTGGAACCTTTAATATCCCTGTGAAGCACACCCTGCCGATGGCAATGTTCCAATCCCCGCAGTAACTGCTGCAGATAACACTTTACCTGCACGTTGCCAAACTACACATGTTATTCATCATCCCGCCATTGACTATCCCCAACAACCCATCCTTCCAACAGGCATTGCCATCATGATGTATACAAACCACGGTTCCCACAATACCTCCGCTGGAAGACTTTCCAACCTCAAACTCCAGCCGCAGTATTGGCAACCATTCCACGATCATTAAAACCAACCAAAGCGATCTATGTTCCCAGATTAGGACCAATACCCGGCTCTAGTAATTAGGAATCTCGTCCACAGTACACAAAAGCAACTGAAAGACCACTGAATAGTAAGACACCAGACATGCAAAGGACGTTCACCGTGCTAAATGACTTCCCTGCATATGACCCTGTACGACATGCAGCTCTAAAGCCACGAGTGTCCATGTCCATGAGTGACAGATGCGCACCAATCCCATTTTCGTGAAAAGACCTCTCCATCAGGGAATAGAAAGAATTCTATTAAGTCGAAATACAATATTTTTAATGAAAGGGAGGACAAATATGTGCACTCCTAAACGACACATCCTCCGCAAATCTCTCCTGAAGCATGTTCAATCTTGATTGGCTGCCATCTGGGACTGGCTGCATGCAGCAGTTTTCCTAGAGAGAAGGGGAGAGGATACGATGGAGTGGAGTATATTCCCGAACCTGAGATTCTGTGAACATTATACCAGGGCATGCGGCCAGCCCGGCCAGGTCGTGCTCCATGTACTCGAACACCAGATACAAGCTGCACGACATTCGAGACGTCACCAGTCCCTCCAGCTTCACCACGTTTGGATGATCCAGGCGTCTCAGGACCTGAATCTCTCTTGCCATGAAACGCACGCTCTCTGGCTCTAAGTTGTCGAACCGGACCTTCTTCAGAGCCACGATCTTCCCTGTCTCTAGGTCCCGAGCTTTGTACACGTTGCTGTACGTTCCCTGTCCAATCTGCACCAACGTGTGCAAATTCCATGGTTAATGCTTCATTCTCGCCTTCAGAATTTGCAACATCCCAGGCCCCTCGTGCCCCTCCATCGCCCATTCACCAAATTCACTGCATCCAGAGGCCATCGTCTAAAAACACGACTCACTGTCATCAACACATTGAAATGCATTGCAACCGGAGCCCACTCACTTTGTCCAGCTTCTCGAACGATGCAGCATGCCGAGGTATCCATCCCTTGATAGCCTCCCCCGCAACCTGCGACAGCCAGCTCGGCCATCCAGCTGCTACTTGTTCCCCCTCCAAGCCCTTCGGTACCGTACCAGCCCAAGGGTGCGGCTCACCATGCGTCCTGTCCACCCGACTTCGGCCCCCGGCTGCGTCGTCTACTTTCAGCTGCGCCTCATTCTGCTTTGACCGGACCTTAGGCCGATCCTTCTCGATAACGAATGCTGGGTCCGTTGTCTCGACCTTGGCGCTCGCGCTGGGTCGCCGAATAGACGCCCGAGTGGTGCCACTATGAATGCTCGTCTTCTCCTTAGGACTAACTGATGGTTCATGCGGTGCCCTATGTTTGGACTTCACACAGCCCATCCCTGCCCTCTGTCGTCAAGGCCCCAATGATCCAAGGGCCGCCTGACCCCTTTCCGACCTCCGCAACCACTACTCGTCCTTCTCCACAACCTCAGCATACGCGCGCACAAAGGCCATCACCCCGCCACACCCATCAACTTCTTATAACTGGACCAGGCAGGACCTCTTAGCAATACAGCTCCTATATCCACCGCTCGCTCTCGCAATTACTCGAAAGCACAACAACACGACCACAATACCGCTCCATCCACCGCTTCTCTAGCACCTTCGCCACCAACTGTTCTGGCGCTCCACCCCACAGAGCTCTACGCATTGCTCTATCTTCTGCCTCAAGGCCCGTCCTAAGATCGACCACCATCAAGAACACACCGTCCTCCTCCTCCTCCCCTCCCACTTCCGCTCCGCCCAACCTTTCCGTCCACTCTTCTCAGCCTTCGCTCCCGCATGCGTCTGCCATGCCCATGCTTCCCACCCCTACGCAAGGCCCCCCTACCCTACCCCCCCCCACCCTAATCCCACTTTACTCACCTCTCCTCTCCTCTTAACACAATGTATCCGAACCTACCCGTCAAAATCCAGGCGCATCGTGCTGTAATCCGAGAAACAGCCCTCACTCCCTCACACCCCGAGAATGCACGCCAACATACAACCTCCTTCCCCCCTCTTCCCACCTACGAAACTAGGGTGCAGCGACCAACGAAACAAGTTTGGCACGAAACCTCCAACAGCAACAACATACTTACAATCAACTACCATACAAACAAGCACATCGAAACTTCAAGTCCCTTCCGCGATGAGGCTCCCTCCGGCTCTACCTCTGCGTCGCCAAAATCGACTGAGCTCGATGCACAGACAAATTATTACAATTTCCTACGAGAGTCGAACAAACACACAGACAAAGTAAGTAAGGTTAGTACCCGTGAGGGGGGCTAGATTGCAAGGGCGACAAGGGTGGGGGGGTAATATGATACAACAGTAGAGTGAAGCGCGGACAAGACTTCACATGAAAAGGGAGAGAAAAGCGGAGATGCGAATGAAGAAGCTGTGCGACGACGAGGAGGAAAAGAAGGAGAAGGAATGGAGCTAACAAGGAAGGAAGGAAAGTACAAAGCGAGGCGGGGGGTCCTGAGGAGGCCATGGCCTACGTCACCACAGCAGCGTCTGTCTGGCCACGGCCCCCGTCAAAAGCAGAGCCTCGATGACCATTCCGGGCCGGGAACACAGCGGGGAGAGGCCTGTTCTGCCTGGATCGGCCCCGTCCTCCAACGGCATCCGACGGTTATTTATGGCCATTACCCGGGTCTGAGTAGATATTCTTGTTTTATGTCGCGTTCCCTCGAGTTCCAACGGGGGTCAAGTGAGTTCATTCCCTAGGTGCCATGTGACTCCATGTTCCCCGCTCCCAGTGGACTGACTCCGAGCACTTTGCCCTCCTCAACCTCACCCACTCCACTCTCTCTGCATTATATAATTCTCTCTGCTTCAAGGCTGTGTGGTGTGGTGTGGTGTGGTGTGGTGTTGTGTGGTGTGGTGTGGTGTGGTGTTGTGTGGTGTGGTGTTGTGTGGTGTGGTGTGGTGTTGTGTGGTGTGGTGTGGTGTTGTGTGGTGTGGTGTTGTGTGCTGTGGTGTGCTGTGCTTCTTCGATAGGGGGGAGGGGCTGAGTGAGTGGGAAAACCCTGCTTCTTAATTCTGGGGTTTCTGCTGCAGTGACTGCGTGTTTCAAATCCCTTTCCAGAATAGCTCCGTGTCAGGACTCACTCCTAATTTGCAGACCTTGAGCTGCGCATTAACATTGGGAAATAACGTGGGGTGGGGCTCACAGCATCTTAATTAATTATATACTGTAATTATGGCTAACATATACCACCAGCCCACTGTTGTTGTCCCCCATTCTCTCTCTCTCTCTCTCTCTCTCTGCTATGCCATGCCAAGGCTGCCCTGCCCAGCTGTGAATGAGCCTCCTCGCTGTGTGAAGGCTTGGGAATATCTCCTGAAATCCTCATATGCCAGCTCAGCAGCCCCAGGACAATGGAGAGTAGAGGGCTAAAGCATGAGGAGTTGGGTGGATGGATGGATGCCCAGAGGAGGGGCTTGATGTTGCTGCTGTATTGAAAGCCAGACCTGCTTGCCAATACACCAGTCTGGTGCTGACCTGAAATATATGTTAGATTGCATCATATTTGAATGTATTTTTTAAATCAATACAGTTATGCACAAGGAAAGCCTTGATTAAAACATATATAAAAGTACGATTCATTCAGAATGGAATTAAGAATGACAAATGTTTGAGTTCTGTGATGAATGTTATGTACTACAGCACGGACCTAGCTAATCTTTATATAATGTGCACAATGTTTCTAATTTTGATTTATGGTAGAATCCCACAATGGTTCTTTTGCAGCAAAATGTAGGTGAAAGAATTTCAAAACTTGGAAGGATCATTTTCACAGGCCCTGTCATCTAATTGACCACACAACTTGATTTGTATCAGCCTCAGTTTTAAACATGCATGTATGCAAACATTGAGACTATATTCATTTTTCCCTGTTCCAATTTGCACACCAAGTGGAAATATACTATTGAAAAGACATAGATAGTCCACAAATATACTGGGGGCCATTTATTACTCCCACCCATGTCAGACGCAATAAGGTACAGACCAAACCCTCAGTCTATATAGAATGTGAGGAAGCTTAACCTATGTCTACAGAAATATGGAGTAATGTGCATGCTTCTACGTGAGTATATATATATATATATATATATAAATGTTCAGCTGTTCATTCCTTGAATCAGAGTGATTTGAAGTGGGGAAATGTAACCCAAAATGTTGAAATCTGCATGAGAACCAATAAAAGAGCAATTAAATTAATTCTCCTGTTGGTTTCTGTGACACCAATTAACAATGAATGTGCACCATCCTTGTTTCTAGAGCCTTTCAGGCTGAAATGTGATGTATTTTGTATTGTCATTTTTTCATTATTATTTTTTCTTCAAAACATTGAAGAGTCATTATTTGTGTGCTAGCAACCACCAAGCAAGATTAGAGATTTCACAGATGGGATTTGAGCTACCAATCTCTCAGTACCAACAGCCATCTCTTTTTGATAGTTTGAGGACATTATAGATCACATGTTGTTAGTTTACAAAAAACAAACAAACAAACAACATAAAATGTGAATAGAAAAAAGCTCTCTTCTATAATGTATGTGGTTACTTGGAGTGATACTATAAATAAGAATAAATTAAAAATTAAAAACTATTAAACAAGTAAAATATTTTTTTTATAATTTTTTTTGTAACACTTTTTGAAATTAGAAATCTTCGTGATAGGATATTTATGACATGGTATAGTCTTTTTTTAAGTCAATGAGGCTTTTACATAAAATAGATTAGATAAGAGTGAATATCATGTTGTTATTTGATAATAATATATATTTTGTGTAAAAATATTAATTTTAATAATATTTATATCTTCTATTTTTATTTATTTTAAAATTAATATTAATATTATATTTATAAGTATTAAAGTAATCATTGGTATTAAGTTTGATAATATCTAAAATAAAACTTATCTTTTTGGCTTAAAAAATTAAAAAAAAACTAAATTATATATATATAATTTTTATTTGAAGTATATGCATATATATATAATTTTTTAAAAAATAATATTTATAATTTTAATTTTTAAAAAATATATATATACTTATAAAATTTTTACCTATGTGATAAAGTCACGGACATGAATTTTAGAGAACTAAAAGATCAAGATATCCTTGTCTAACTTGAAAAGTCTAAAGAATCATTCAAAGATAGTATAATATTAAATTAGAATGGCTATTGCCAAGTTAAGATGAGTATAGACTCTTAAAATTTAACTAAGAACAAGAAATGTACTGATAAGAGTGAAGAAGACTTCATTCTTACTTCCATATATACTATCTAATTAAGAGCTATGTGACAATGTTCTATATGACCTCTGATACATGTTCAAATTGCAAGAAACATGTTTTAACTTGCAAGGCAAGTTTTCCATATGTGTGCCATATAATATGCTTGTTCCATAAGCTATCAATACACATAATATGTGGCTAACTTATTGACTAAGTTTTTAGACTATAAACACTTGTGAAATCAAAGCCGCATCTATGAAGCTTCTAAGAATCTTTTTTAAAAGATATTATAAAATTAATCTATTTTTATCTTATTCTACTTAATATTGACATGTAATATTGGAATAAATATGTATCTCTATGAGATTATCTCTCATTCTAGGAACAAGTTCTACAAAGAGTGGTCATCATATGTTGAGAAAATCCAAAATGTGACAAATTATATTTATTACATACTCTAATTTTTTTTCTCTTTGAAGATGGTTTTAGATTCTCTATCTCCTCAGTACAACAAATATACAAAAATTACAAACAAGGATAGAAGATAGAATGATATCTTCTTTCAATCTTGTTTCTTTTATAGTAAAGATTTTTTATTCTTCATCTTGATTTTGATGGATGTTGTCAATGAAAAGCTTTAATATTTTTTGTTATATATGCAAGATTCTTTATTGGCTCCCATATGTATTTAATAATATTATATCTATGCCAATGAATAAAATATTCAACTTATTTTGGTGTCACCTTAAATCTAAGACTTCTTCTATCTCAAATTTTTAATTATTATCTACTTCTATAAGAAGAAGTGGTATTTGTCTTCTTTCTAAAATATTCATTGTCTTAAATGACTTAAGAAGAGATACATGAAATACAAAGTGAATCTTCATAGATTTTGATAGATGTAATTGATATAGCAACTAGATTGACTTGTTCACAAATAAGAAATGGTCCAAGCATATAGTAATCTAACTTATTACAAGGGCGGCTAGTCTTAATACTGTGATGAATTAACCATATGTATGATTACTTCAATGCCAACGTGTCATCAATGTAGAATTGAGGTTGCTCCTTGTAATAGGTATTGGCATTGGTTTTTTTTGTTCTTGAGTTTCTTTTAATTGTGCCTTCATTGTTGTATATAGCTCAAATATATGATTAGTCAAATCTTTTGTTATAAGATTATTAACTTTTGAAAAATCAAAAACATGAAATTGTAGATGATAATCATAATTAACAAAAAGGTGTTTATTATATAAAAAAATATTGTATGATTATAAATAAATTTTGATAATGGCAAAAGAATTGTTAAATTATTTTGTTGATAACTGATGGTATAACTTAAATACTACTCAAAACCTTGATTTATGCACTTTATTTTTCCATCAATTTGAGAATAAAAGGCCAAAAATAGCTTTATATCTATCTTTAAAATCATAAAAATAATTCTTAAAAATCTTCACACAAATTGCATCTTCTTATCTAATATAATATCCTTGGACAATATATGATAGCAATAGATGTAAATAAAGAAGAGCTTAGCTATTTTTTTACTTATAATAGATTTTATATATAGTAAAAAATAT